CTCCAGGCAGGCTCTTAGAGAAACATCAGAGATAGGAGAACTGGGGGAGAAATTAACCAAGCGATCCAAAACAGAAGAAGAGATATTAGGAGGTACGGTCTTCCCCCTCTGTAAATATCGGGTAAGCTAGACTCATCTCACAGTTAAATTACAGAGCGACCCACCCATGAAAATGCACAGACAGCTTTAGAAAAATAAGTCTTTGGGAAGAAATAAATTCTCATTGAATGATAAAGCCATAATGACTCTACCACAAATTGTGTTAAGGGTTGGATGAAAAACTGAAATTTTCTCTTCTAGAAGACTACATTTGGTACACATATTAACGTCCAATTAACAAGTGAGTTCACTCCCCAGCTTTCCTCCTTTGCCCATGTAAAGGCATTCTTTGATGCTTTCTCTTCTGAATTTTAGAAGTATTTTTTCATTCAGCTTTTCCCCTTAGCTGACCCTGGTGCATTCTCTTTTAACTGGACTGTCGAAACACTCTTCCTTCTGCAAGAGAGGCTTCTGCTTTCTTCCACAAAGCATTTTTTGAGACTCAAAGCAAATATGACTACTAAAAAGACAAATAGAACTTTTGGGAAAATGGTCTTTGGTAGAACTGAGAATAAATGTACAGCTACCAACAATTAATCTTTGAAGAAATGTGCAATAAGGAGTTATAAAGAAAAACATGTGTGTTTTTCACTAATAAATGGAAAAATCAGTCATAGATCTAAATTCCTTGAAACCAAACAGAAACTCCCATCTTAAGATGAAAACACTAAAAGTGAATTGAAAGACTGGTCAAAATGTTTTGGTTAGTTAAATCAATATTGGATTGATACAGAAAAAATTATGTTCCTTATATCTGAAACTATTGAAAATACTGGATAAGGATAAGGAATAAAACAGTCCTTTCCTGCTATAGCTGAGAGACTTTTTCTTTTCCTAGACTGACAAAGATAAAGCAACTCTACCTCACAGAAACTCATCAACTGTAAGATGGTTCACAAATTGTTTATGAACAAAGGGAACTTACGGACAGCAAGGGAATGGCAACTTTTCCAAGAAAATCAGGGGGTTTATCTCCATCTTCATCAAACACTGTCACTTCCAAAACATCATGGATATCTTTAATGGGACTGAAACAAAAAATACTGTATATTATATACAAAAACACACAAGTGAAATCTGTTCCACAAAGATCTGAAAACACTGTTTCACTAATTAAGTCTATGTGTCCTTAGAGTATAAAACTACCATTTAATTAAATTCCAAAAATTAAATCAAACTGACTATTCCCAAACCTTCCATCATAGAAGATTCAGACATCCACACACAAAAAAAAGAAGTCAACTTTTTTACTATGACATTTTCCGTTTACATGTGCCCTCAAGGGCAGGACTGTTAAAGAAACAGGATAAAGAAAGAAAAGGGAAAAAATAAGGAGAGTAAAAGGAAAGTGATTTCAAAGTAGCTTCCAAATGAGAAGAGTAAAAATAACATTTTCTTTACATTAATAAAAAATTATCTTTAAAAGGTGGTGAAAATTACTATTTGCTTAATACACAGAAAACAATCCATGGTTGAATCACAAAATACTAAAAATCCCAAGCATATTTAGGATTTTTTTTTTTTAACTGACCAGAAGCCAGACAACACCAGTCACAATGAAAAATGGAGCCATGG